TCATTACTTTGCTCCGGGGCAAACAGCCACGCTCCCCCCCCCCCGCATTTTCCGGGCCGTGTGACCGGGACCTCTGATTGGTTTTTTAAAATACAGGAGTTTCTGTATAATGGACAAATTATCAGACCCTATGATACAAGGGGAAACAGATCCTTATGCATCGAATTTGTGACTGTGTGGGTTTCCTGTTTTAGAATGCCTGGCATCTAAGAAAGAATCTGAATCCATTATAGAAGCCATTAATGCTATAACTTCACTTAAGTTTTTGTTCTTCTTTTTAATATTGTTTGATTTTAGTTGCAACACCTACCTATCTCAGTTCCTCTGTACCTATCCAAGTTCTTAGACTCTTGCAGGGCTCTTTTTGTAGAAAAAGCCCAGCAGGAACTCATTAGCATAATAGGCCACACCCAACACCAGAAACTCATTAGCATATTAGGTCACACCCTGACAGCACAGCTCATTAGCATATTAGGCCGCACCCCCATGTTACCAGAAGTGTGGTCATCCAGCCACACCCACCTTTTGCTTCTTATTCTGTTTACCTTGTTTGTTGTCAAAACCCAGGGCCTTTTTTGTAGCAGGAACTCCTTTGCATGTTAGGCCACATACCCCTAATGTAGCCAATCCTAATGAGTTCCTGCTGCTGGGTGTGGCCTGTTATGCTAATGAGTTCCTGCTGGGCGTGGCCAACTCGGGAGCCAGCCGGAACTCCGTTCCTGTGCGTTCCTGCCCAAAAATAGCCCTGCTTATAGGTATATACTTGAATTTATACTACCATATGCTCTAATGATAATGATAAAATACAATATTGTCTTTGGGTAGCATCAGAGGATTAGGAAAGTGAATCAACCGGTCAGGCAGAGAAGCGAGGCTGAGTCAGTGGAACCCTAACCTTTTGGCCTTCCTAAGGGACCTTCTCTCTAGGAGAAGGATGTGTGCCGTAACAGGGGATGCAAAGATATAGCTGTTTCTTTTGAATGCTGCCTTTTCATTCATATCTCTTTTTGTTGTTATTTGTTTTTACTTCGGAAGCCTCTCTCGGGGAGGTTCCCGGAGAGACGGCATGCAAATCTTCCGAATTCATCAATAAGGAGGCCGCTGGGGATCCTCACCAGAAAGACTGCGTGGGCGTACAGGTGGATGCCCAACTGGATGCCGTTGACGATCTTCTCCCGCGCCCACTTGGGGATGCCAAAGTTGGCGATGAGTGCCGTGACGGGGACAGCGAAGAACCTGCAAGAGGAAAAAGCGGTTGTCTTGCCACGCAAGCCGCCCTTCCATTCCATTCCACTCACACCCACACCCACACACTCCCTTTTGCTACAACATCGCAAACCTCCCAACTTTCCATTCACGGGAGTGGAAAAACACCTCCCCCCTCGCTTGGTGTACAGCCAGTTTGGTGTAGTGGTTAAGTGCACGGACTCTAATCTGGGAGAACCGGGTTTGATTCCCCTCTCCTCCACTTGCAGCTGCTGGATGTCCTTGGGCAAGCCATAGTTCTGATAAGAGCTGTCCTTGAAAGAGCCATTCTCTCAGAGCTCTCTCAGCCCCACCCACCTCATAGGGTGTCTGTTGTGGGGAGGGAAAGGGGGTTGTAAGCCGCTCTAAGACTCCGAGTGAAGGGTGGGGTATAAATCCAATCTCCTCCTCTTCTTCTTCCCCAAGTCAGCTTCCCTACTCCCCAGCTACCCAGACAGTATCTCCATCCCCTGCTGGTGTATATTGGGGCTCCCAACAAAATGCCCACATGGGCACCACAGCACCTGCCAACACCTTTCCATCAGGTGGGACTTTTGCCCAGCAAGGCTTTTGATTGGCCATCAGAGATTGGCTAGCCATTTTTTTAAAAAAATGTTGCTTTGGCGGCTGCTGCCACCACAGCACCGAGGATCTTCACTGTGTGAATGAAGGTAAGCCACGGCAGCCATTTTGTGACTGGCTCCGCCTCCTGTGGCAGCCATCTTACGACATCTGTCTTGAGGCTGCTCCCGCCACGCTGTATCAGAATCCCAGAGATGACCACTGGCTCAAAGAGATTGGGAAGCCCTGGTGTATATTCTATTCTGAAGCACAGAATTGTGTCCTGATCCTGTACCGCTACGCAGGTGTCAGCGGGTGCGCCGAGCACCAACCTACCTAAGTGACTACGAATGTAAATAAATGTTTTTACTTAGGGGGGAGGAGTTTGTAATGTATTCAATAGCTGCCATTGAATGCATAACTGTATGTGAACAACATAATTGAAATGCCATGTAAAGCTTCGTCCTGGGCTAGGATCCTAATCCATCCAATCGTATTGGTAGCCCAGGAAGAACCAGCCAATCAGGTGCCAGCAAGCTCCCTGAGCGGGAACATCTATGATTGGCCGTTATGTAAACAATCTTATTGGTTGGTATTGTAAAGTAAGGCATGGCTACATTAGCCGGGAGGGTTTAAAAAGGGAACAGCTTTAATGCAAGAGCTGTTCTGGCTATCAGATGTTGATCCGTGTTGGAGTTGTGTTCGAGTTGCTGAATAAAGTGGAATCTTTGCTGAATCACTCTCCGACTACTTTATTAAGTGAGTGACCTAATACACAGTTTCTACAACTGCTCGGCGCTTCATCCCAGAGAAGATGTCGTTTCCACTGGGCCGGACACGACTCCTTCCTGGACCAAAGATCACATGTGCAGTGCGAAGTACAAGAAGGCTGCATGCACCTCCCTGCGAGTCCCTCAATGAGTTAAAAAAAAACCCTGATAGAAGCACATTTAAAACTGCCTGCTTTTTGCAGATCGGAAGCCCAAAATGTGTGTATTGAGGAACGCTTTCCCAACCCCAGGAGAAAGGCCGAAAAAGAGTTTTAAGTGGCAAGAATTCAAGCCTAATTGTATTATACTAGAACCATGGGCCTCTGCCCCTCCTCCTTCCAATCTCTATCCATCCGTCATGGCCAAGTCATCCATTAGACTATTAGGATGATTTGTTCTGGCCATTGATCCGGTTGACAGAGAGAAAGTGAAAGAGCAGCTGCGTTTGCCAAGCCACCTTCCCTAGGCTAAAGAGACGAGACAGAGTCTTTCGAGGAGATAAAAAATTGTCATGTTGGTCGATCGGGATGTGGGGGGGGGGTGTCCCAAAACAGCAGGGGGGTATTACTGCTATTAGGAACGACCTAAGCGTCACAGAGTGAGCAAACTTTCGACTTCATCAGAACGCTTCTTGAGACTAGATATGCTAAGGGAAAAAACTAACTAAATAGATTCAGAGGGGGTAGCCGTGTTGGCCTGATAAGTGTCAGAACGAAGTCTGAGTCCAGCGGCACCTTTAAGACCAACAAAGTTTAATGCTGGGTAGAAGATTTCATGTGCCTGATGATGAAGAAGAAGAAAAGAAGAAGAGATTGGATTTATACCCCGCCCTTCACTACCCAAAGGAGTCTCAGAGCGGCTTACAAACTCCTTTCCCTTCCCCTCCCCGCAACAGACATCCTGTGAGGTAGGTAGGGCTGAGAGAGCTCTTGACAGTGACCGCTCTTTTTCAAGAACAGCTCTTATCAGAGCTACGGCTTGCCCAAGGTCATCCAGCAGGTCCAAGTGGAGGAGTGGGGAATCAAACCCGGTTCTCCCAGGTTAGAGTCCGCGCATTTAACCACTACACCAAACTGGCTCCTACACCAAACTGCAGTGTGCATGCACACAAAAGCTTATACCCAGAATTAAACCGTGTTGGTCTTAAAGGGGCCACTGGACTTTGAATATATTTTTGTACTTTGACAAGCCTTTATTGGTATATGCATATACAACTTTGGATTAATAAAGGTGTGTGTTGGGAGAAACACAAAGAAAAAATATTTTGGGGCCACAGCGAGTCTTACGAACTGCAGCCTGGGCCTTTGACAAGAGTGACGCGAACGCACAGGAAACTGCACTGTCTCTGGTCTACTCTGACCAGCAGTGGCTCTTCCGTCACCTCCTGCCTGTTCCTTTTAACTGGAAATGCCTGAGATTGAACCTGGGACCTTCTGCAGACCGAGCAGGTGCTCTAGCACTGAGCCACGGCCCTTCCCAAACCATAAGACAGAGGAGGGGCTGCGGTGGCTCAAGTGGTTGAGACGCTGAAGCAGCAGGCTTTGGAAGGTCGTTGGTTCGGCAGTTCGAGACCCGAGTGTGCCGCATGACGGAGTGAGCTTCCCCGTCTCTGGTTCCAGCGCCTGCCAACCTAGCAGGTCAAAAGCAAGAAACTGCAAGTAGATAAATAGGTATTTGGTGCTTGGGGGGGGGTCAACAGTGGGAGGGCTTCTAATGTCCCGGCCCCACTGGTGGACCTCCTGATGGCACTGGTATTTCTGGCCACTGTGTGATACAGAGTGTTGGACTGGATGGGCCTTTGGCCTGATCCAACGTTGGCATCTCTTATGTTCTTATGAGAGGAGGTGTGACGAGAGGCTTCGAGGGGGGGCAGAACGGGAAGTTAAAAGAGCCCCGGAACAAGTTGAGTGGACCATGGGCAGTGCTTGCCCCCCCCCGGGGGGGGGGGAAGCTCATCTCCTGAGCAATTTCCTGACAGCTGCTTCCTCCTGTGCCACTGTTACATCCTCCTGACCACTGCCCAGGTCTGCACGCAGCCGGCTCCTGCCCATCAGCTCCCCACCTGGCGGCACAACAGTGCATTGGGAAATTTCTTGGTCACTTCATGAGCCAGCCCATCCCCGATTGGACTTCCCAAGCTGCAGCTGTGCTCAGTTCAGAACTGTTCTGAGGCTGCTCCAAGAGAAAGGAGCAGATGGCCACTCTCCCTCTGAAAACATATAAGCCAGGCTGATTGATCGGGTATTGCCTAACAGCGGCTTGGGGAATCTTTGAGATGGAATACTCCAAGAGGGGAGGGGAGGAAAGGAAGGGTCCTGGCTCAGTGGCAGAGTGTCTGTTTGGCGTGCAGAAGGTCCCAGGTTCAATCCCCGGCATCTCCAGTTAAAAAGGACCAGGCAGGAGGGGATGGGAAAGACATCCGCATGAGAGCATGGGTCGCCATGGAGCAGGGCGGTAGCTCAGGGGCAGAGCATCTGCTTGGCATGCAGAAGGTCCCAGGTTCAATCCCCGGCATTCCCAGTTAAAAGGATCAGGCAGGAGGGGATGGGAAAGACCTCCGCCTAAGACCCTGGAGAGCCATAAAGTGGGGCCGTAGCTCAGTGGCAGAGCCTCTGCTTGGCATGCAGAAGGTCCCAGGTTCAATCCCCGGCATTCCCAGTTAAAAGGATCAGGCAGGAGGGGATGGGAAAGACCTCCGCCTGAGACCCTGGAGAGCCATCAAGTGGGGCTGTAGCTCAGTGGCAGAGCCTCGGCTTGGCATGCAGAAGGCACCAGGTTCGATCCCCGGCATTCCCAGTTAAAAGGATCAGGCAGGAGGGGATGGGAAAGACCTCCGCCTGAGACCCTGGAGAGCCATGAAGTGGGGCTTTAGCTCAGTGGCAGAGCCTCTGCTTGGCGTGCAGAAGGTCCCAGGTTCGATCCCCGGCATTCCCAGTTAAAAGGATCAGGTAGGAGGTGATGGGAAAGCGTGCCACCTTCTCCTCATACTACCCCGTAACTCTGTCTGGATTCACTCACCAGAGGGTGTAGGCTGCAAAGAAAGGGACGTAGAAGGGCTGCTTCTCTGGGAACTGCTTGAGCGTGATGAGGATGGCGTAGCAGAACCAGATGTAAGCCACGAACTGCAAAGCGATCAGGCCATACCCAGCCGGTGACTCGTAAGTGTACAGCACCTGCGCCTGGTCAAAGAACTGAGCCCCAGAAAGGGAGGAAGTGGGTGAGCAAATGGGAGAAGCAGCAAGTCAAGGTAGACGCAAATCACAGCGAAAAAAACAAAAAACCACCACAAGGCTATTCAGGGCTGGGGAGCAGAAGCACGATTCTCCACAGATACAGAGGATGAGTGCCTCCCATGTAGGGTCCCGGGGAAGAAAAGAGCCAGTGAATGGGGAGGCCTTTAGAAGATTTACCTTCTTCTGGTCCTTAACTTAGAGAGGGGAGGAGAAGGCTCCACTATGAATAAATTACCTACAAGGGGAGGCTGGAACTCCTATTCCAGTGGTGGCGAACCTATGGCACGGGGCTCAGTGCCATCGCCCCAGCCAAGCCCAGACCATCATTAAAGTGTTGAATTCTCTGCCAAATGATTTTAAGTAAATGAAAGCATTTGGGACTGCTTTCCTTACTTTGTTTGGATCATCTTAAGTTAATGTATGAGTTGTTTTTTCTAAAGTACAACCTCAGTATTCAGGTTAAATTGCCGTGTTGGCACTTTGCGATAAATAAGTGGGTTTTGGGTCGCAGTTTGGGCACTCGGTCTCTAAAAGGTTCGCCATCACTGTCCTATTCCATTAATAAGAGAACGTGATGAGAAACGGAATAGACAGGATCATGGAGGGACGGGTCCATCGATGGCTATTCCCAGGGTGACTAAAAGGAAGCACCACCTTCAGAGGCAGCCGGCCCCTGGATACCAGCACCAGGATGAGGTAAAATCAGGGGAAAGCCTCGGCCTCTCTGCCCTGTGGTTGACCCTCCAGAGGAACTGGTTGGCCCCTGTGTGAGACAGGATGCTGGACTAGAGCGACCCCTGGTCTGATCCAGCAGGGCTCTTCTGATGTTCTTAGGAAGGCCGCAGCCTCTCCGCCCTGTTGTTGGCCCTCCAGAGGAACTGACTGGCCCCTGTGTGAGAGACAGGATGTTGTCAAGATGGACCACTGGTCTGATCCAGCAGGGCTCTTCTTAGGTTCTTATCAGGAGAAGGCCTCGGCCTCTATGCCCTGTTGTTGGCCCTCTAGAGGAACTCGTTGGCCACTGTGTGAGACAGGATGCTGGACTAGATGGAGTACTGGTCTGATCCAGCAGGGCTCTTCTTATGTTCTTATGAAGGCCTTGGCCTCTATGCCCTGTTGTTGGTTATCCAGAGGAACTGGTTGGCCACTGTGTGAGACAGGATGCTGGTCTAGAGGGACCACTGGTCTGATCCAGCAGGGCTCTTCTTATGTTCTTATGAAGGTCTTGGCCTCTATGCCCTGTTTGTTGGCCATCCAGAGGAACTGGTTGGCCATTGTGTGAGACGGGATGCTGGACAAGATAGACCACTGGTCTAATCCAGTGGGGCTCTTCTTAGGTTCTTAACATCTACATCTTCTAAATAAATGATTAATTAAAAGCGGAAGTCCCTGATTTCCCAAACAGAAAGCTCCCTGGGCTAGAGAACGACGGTGGAACAGAAGGGCTCCCAAAAGTACCAGGAGCCATGGGGGAAAACACTCACCTCCGCCTCATAGATGAAGAGCACGACATGTGTGATCGTGTACAGGGTCATGTACACCGAGAGCTTGATAGAACCTGTGTGGCTGATCCGACCCCTGCAAGACAGGGAGCTGTGAGCCAGGATTAAGGCTGAACCACGAAACTCCCAATGCTTTTCCTCTCAATTTTGGGCTGGCTCCCGTAACTCCCTTCTACTAATCTGTATCCCGTGATGCCAAGGTCTTCCTACAACACAGAGCAAGATCTTCTGCTAACAAAGGAATGAATCCTCTGGTGGAGGAAGGGGAAAGTCATTCTCCAACAGAGAAGGATATTTTCCTTCTCTGGTGGAGGAAGGGGAACGTCATTCTCCAACAGAGAAGGATATTTTCCCAGTGAAGGAAGACTTAGCAGAAGACAGCGGAAGAGAGTCACCGGATCTGCCGGTGGAGGAGAACGGTCACATGCAACGCAGGGCTGGCGTCTGCATGTCCTCAGCTGGGGCAGCTGCCGGGGGGGGCAGGACGTCTGGAGGGGCCCACTGCCGCTGAACCTCACCCACATACCTCCCACGCCACCTGTCTGCACCCATGCTCCCGAAGGCCCACGGAGGGAGGGCACGTGAGTGGTGCC